AACCTCTCATGTGAGATGCTGTGGAGTGTCTGAAGGGACAGATAGCAGGGGTTTCACCCAGCATACAGATAGGTTGAATGACTGGTGAATTGGCTGCTAAAAAATGTATTGGGTTGGCCAAAAAGTCTGCTACGTTTTTTGCATATGCTGGCTCTAATAGCACTTATTTATCTTTAACTTCACTTGAAACAATTTTGTTAGATTGCATTTTGACATCTGTCATATCAGTGTGTGTAAAAAAAAAGCTTAATCAAAATTGAATTTTTGTGATGGAAGAAAATGTGCAACATTTTTGGCATGTTATGCTTTTTTATTTCAAGAAAGGTAAAAACGCAACTGAAATGCAAGAAAAAAGATTTACGCAGTGTGTGGAGGAGGTACTGTGACTGATCGAATGTGTCAAAAGTGGTTTGCAAAGTTTCTTGGTACTATTGACATTTTGGCCAAATAATTCTTTGTTGTGGGGCTGCCTTATGCATTGGAAGATGTTTAGCAGCAGCCCTGGCCTCTACCCACTAGAAGCCAATAGCGAGAGAGCCGACATACTCAAAATAGCAGAATCAATCAAGTTACTGGTGAAAATGAAAAATGTCTCCTGCTTTAGGGAAAAAAACATAAAGGCCTTTTTGGCCAGCCCAATACATGTGGTAAAATGTGGACTACATTTTGCTTGCATTGTAACATACCATTCTACAGTAAAGTTGTGGGGACCTATGACCCTCACTTGGCAAAAGAATATACCAATTGTAGAAAAATCAATGTGGTTTAGGTCTGTTTGCAACTCTATGTTTTTTGTACTTTTTATGGCACTTATTGCCCATCTTATGTTACAGGTTTTTAAAAATTTATTTCTTTTTAAAAAATGTCTTCTCTATTTATTTTTAGAGAGAAGGGAGGAAGGAAGAGAGGGAGAGAAACATCAATGTGTGGTTGCCTTTCACGTGCCCCCCTCCTGGGGACCTGGCCCACAACCCAGGCATGTGCCTCAGACTGGGAATCAAACTGGCTATGCCGGCACTCAATCCACTGAGCCACACCAGCCAGGGCTAAACATTTAATTCTTACCTGCACTAGAGTGAACACCTTGGGGGCAGGGGCAGTGTTTAACTTGTTCACTTTTATGCTCCTCTAGCGTTAGCCCCATGCCTTGAACATAACAAGCACTCAGTCATTTCTGAGCAAAGTTAACTCGTGAGATTATTACCTAAACTCAACTGAACTTGACCCCACACCTTGAATCTAATAAAAGTAAATGCGTAAGCATGATTGAAACCTGTGTAATCTGTTCAATAAGCACCTTTCTCTTTAAAAAGGTCATTCCTTTTTGTTTTTAGGTCTTTGTCACATTAATGAAAAACAAAAACTCAATTTGAAATAGTACCAATTTGCATCTAAATAATTAAAGAACCCTAAAGAAAAAGTAACCTAAGCCTTGGCCATGTGGCTCAGTTGGATGGAGTGTCAACTGGGGCAGGACAGTGAGGAACTAGGAAAATTCCTTGGCAACTAGAATAGACAGTTGAACACTACGGCTGAGCAATTTACAGCCAGCTGCAGATGGGCACCAGGGCGCAAGGCCCTGAGTGCTTGGCAAGGGGCAAAATTGGGAAAACAAGAGCCTCACGCCTAGGGTAACCTCCTGTCCCCTGGCCTCTCCTCCCTGGAGATAACATCTAGGCCTCAGTTGTTTCAGCTCCTGGTGCAGAAAAGCAGCAAAACCTTTTCATTTTCATTTTTTCAATGTTCAAATGAACATTTTTCATTTTCACCAGTAACTTGATTGATTCTGCTATTTTGAGTATGTTGGCTCTCTCTCGCTATTGGCTTCTAGTGGGTAGAGGTCAGGGTTGCTGCTGAACATCTTCCAATGCATAAGGCAGCCCCACAACAAAGAATTATTTGGCCAAAATGTCAATAGTACCAAGAAACTTTGCAAACCACTTTTGACACATTCCATGTCAAAACCAGGTAGGAGTCGCCAGAACCAATTGTTATGACTAAATGAGCCCTGCCCTGTCACTGACCAATCAGCGGAAACCATGACCTTGAAAGGGCACACCTAGAGAACTGGTGAATATTATGCTGGGACCCTCCCCTGTTCCCCTAGTTTCCCACCTGCAAGAGAGAGATACAAGCCTCCAGACAAAGGATCCAGCAGGCCAGTGTGCTCTCCTTCTGGGGAGCAGCCAGTGCCATTTCCTTTCCTCCGCTCCCCCAACCCCACTTCTTTCTTCACAGGCACGTGTCTCTTAAACTCTAAGGCAATGGGTAGCTGGCAGCTTGTCCCAGGCTAACCCCCTGAACCTGTCCTCAAAGCCCCCTCTTTTCTGACTTCCCAGTGGGCTAAGGCAGCCCAGCCTAGGCTCTCCTGTTGCTTCCTCTATGCTAAGCCCTTCCTTGTTTTACTGCCCTCAGCTTTAATAACGTACATTCACAATCCCCTGGACCCCAGTTGTGAAATCTTTCCTACACGAAATCAAGAACTACACATTACTGGCTGGCCCTAGGCAGACCCTCTCAGGGCCAGGCCCCCTGTCTGGTAATAAACCTGTGCACCAAAAGGTTTCTGGTTCCATCCCCAGTTGGGGTGAGTACGGGAGGCAACTAATAGATGTTTCTCTCTCACATCATTTTTCTCTCTCTAAAATCAATAATAAAACATATCCTTGGGTGAGGATTAAAAAAACTTAAGGTTTAATTCGTATTATGTGTATTGTAAAGTCTTAAGTGGTAATTTATTCCAAAGTGGTTCAAAATTCATAATTTTCACCAGTTTTAAAACTAATCTTCTACATTTTCTATTAGCTTCATTAGAACCAGTGTTAATTCTTTTTGAATGTTCAGAATTTGAACAAGGCAGTTGTTAAACTCGGCCTAGTATCTCGTATTTTATCAAATCATCGCAAATACGTTTTTTTGAACACAAATTTATTTTGTAGAAATGAAAACAAAACAATTTTCACTAAAAAGACAAAATAGTTCTTCTAAACAGTGGATCTAAAAGGACATAAGTATAACATAGCTAAGACACTCTTTTTTTGGTAGAAACCTCAAGTTAATACTTGATGAACATATATTTATGGGAGGTTTTTTTAATTTGCTTTTGCAAATCTACTTTATACTAAAATTTTTACTTAACATTACTGCTTAGGAAAACAAATGAGACTTTAACAAATAATATTACATTTCAAATTTAAAATCTGTATCTCCAAACTTTATATGCTATATGACTTACTTTAAGAAATATTTTCATTCCTTCTAAAGAAAACATATATATGTAATGTTTTTCTGCATTTTGGTTGTATAACGCACACACAAAATTTGGCTGGCTGAACGAAGTCAAAAAAGGAATCTTATCCATAGGTCTTATTTAGGATATTCTTGCCAGCCCAGTGATGTGAAATCACTGACACACGAAAAATAGAGTCCAGAGCCAGTCTAAAACTTCTATATTACCCAAATATACCATGAGTTGACTGTGAAAACGGTCAGCTGTGTAATCCCATGTAAGCTTTGTAGGATGCTTACTGAAAAGGGAAGAAGAGTTCTCCCTGGAATACAAAATGCCTTTTAAGGTGGAAGCTTCAGCAGTTCCTTTTTTTACTATTATCTACAAATATTTATTGTAACACTTGAATAGAACTACAGGAAGCCCATGGCACTGATAGAGAATATTGATTCTGTTAGGTCAGAAAAATGTATTCATAGAAAAATTGAATGTTCTTTATGTAAAAAATATCAGACTATTTTAAAGACAACTTTCAAAAATTCCTGGTAATAGCTAACAGAAAAGTAAAATTGGCCATTGGACGCTGTCTGTTCCAGAACATTGGACTCTTAACAGCACCTCCACTGCTGGGGGGAAAAAAATTAAGTCTGTCATGCAACAGGAAAACAAAAGACCAAACTATTCAGGAGCAACTGTTCCATACAGAGGAGAACTGTTCTACACAGAGCAGCCAAATCACAAGGTAATTTTTAGTATGAATATATGTAGTTAATTATATATTACGCAGCTTCCTTTAAAAAGCACTGATACTTTGAACAGTTGTATCATTTCAAAAAGAACACCACAAAGTTAACCATCACTAATACTCAGTATCTGTAGTCAATGTTCTGAAACACTGAGATTGAGAAGGCAAGTTTCTTTTGAAAATGGCTTAAACTCAATCATTTTTTAGGTTTTTTCTCACTGAACATCAAACTTTATTATTCCATAAAACTAAGATTTAGATAAGAAAAAGTGAAGTAAGTACCAACTCTAATTTAAATTGCTTAAGTATTTAAGTCTATAAAAGTAGGTTGGTAGTCTTTTTGTAATTAGGTTTTAGGCAGTTGCCATGAAACTGTATGTAAACTCACTATTCAGACTAATGGCAGAACCTGGTCCTATCCTGTTTCTATCAAGATCTGGAACCAAAGTTTAAACCTTGGCTATACCATTTAACAAGTAACATCAGTGTTAATACAGTCCTACACTCCAACAGACTTGATGGTGTGAGTACTGGGTGGGTTTTGTTTTGAACTTTACCATTCTGCAAGGGTTTGTACACAAGCTGGCTACAAGTCAGAGAGCCAGACACAAAGAGTGCAACAAGTACCCTTTTAAACAGTATATTGCGGAGAATGGAGAGCGCCTACCCCATCCGCTCGCATCGGGTGCAGTGGAGCTGAGTGATGGTGTCACTGGGCAGGGACAGGTGACAGGACAGAGCAAGCTGCAGAGGCAACAGGGCCATGTAGATGATGGAAACGCATCTCTGGCAATGGCCCAGGCCTCCAAGGCCACAGTGGTGGAATAAACAGCAGCAGCTGCTGTTCCAATCCAAACAGCAATGAACTACAATCAAAATCTTGCAGACTATACATTAACAATGTGAGTCAGGCAGCAAGTTCTCAGTCTGGGTGTCCCAGGTGCGGCAGTCCACCCCGAATGGTCTGGGTGAGCTGGCAGCCCCAGGGGCAGGCCAATGTCCTGAGTGTCCCTTTCCAGGCGGTCTTCATTTAGGGGGTAGGAAATGTGGTTTTTTCAAGCTAAAATTGGACCAGTCGATGGACAGTCTTTGTCGGGTCTGTCTAGCAGAATCCAAGCAGAATCTTTTGAAATGTTCAACTTCCCTCTCTGTCTCATCCATCTCCTCACTGTCTAGGTCGATATCTTTAGGCATAAAGACATCATAGAGCGGGTTGTTGTCTCCGTCTCCCTTCCTGTTTTCTTTGCTCGTGTCGCTGGGTTGAGGAGTATCTGCCAGCACTGGCTCAGTGGGGCAGGCAGGCTCTTCAGGGCCTAGGCTCGCCTTTTCCTTGACTTGGCTGAGCCGTTTCTTGCCCTTGTTCTCACTCCTGGCTTTTCTCTCCAATCTCCTCTGCTCCGCCAGCAAAACGAGGTGAAGCACTTTAGTATTTGGTTGAGTCTGGGGCCGGGGTTTGGGCTGGCCCTCTGAGGCTTTCGGGGACTTCCCTGTTTGTTTCAGCTTTTTGCCAGTCCCATCCTTGTGTTGATGCTTTGGGGTCTCCTTTGGCAGGAGGAGCTTGGAGTCCCCATGAGCCCCTGACCCTGTGTGGTCCTCACGTCTGGAAGGGGAGTGAGATGAGGTTTCCAATTTTTCAGTTTGCTCTAGGGAGCCACTGGGCATGTGTGCCTTCTCCTCCAGCTTTCTCTGTTTATGTCTTTCCCGCTTGGCTCTGCGGGTGCTGCTCACAGGCTTGGTCTCTGAGGTGTTTATGAACTGCAGCAAGTCCTCCACCGTCCGATGATCGACCACATTCTGCCTTTCTGCGCGCCGATCTGTTTTCTTAGGTTGCTCTTCTTTTCTCCTGGCCAGCCGTAAACGAAGCTTTTCTCTCATTTCTTCGTAACTTCTCCCTGTTGGTGTGGCTGAAGGCCAGTCGTGCCTGTAGAATTGACCACAGCATTCACAGTACCTGTGCTCCTCCTGAATGTTGTAGGTACAGGAGCAGGAGCTGCAGCGGGAGCTGTGCTCAGAGCAGCTGTCATTGTTTGCACTCTTGTCCCTGCTGCCCTGCTGTGGGTCACTGGCACCTTTGTTGCAGAACTGCTCTTCGGAGTCAGGACGTAAAGGGGCTGGCAAGGCCAGAAATGAGTCATCATAGAAGAAGTCCTCGGGGCGCTGCAGGGTTTCAGACCTCACGCTGGTCACAACCTCAATATGGCTGTGGGTCGCAACCTGAGTATCATCATCGTTGTAGGGCACAACTTCGATATCATCACTATTCACCAGATAAATATCAGCAAATTTAGCTGACAATGCAGCCACATCACTGTCAGTGCAAAAAGTTGAGGTAGAACCTTCGTCTGGGCGAATGGGTCTGAGCTGCTGCTGGGTTATAACGGGAGAGCTGGAACCTGACCCCGAGCTTGCCAATGACACAATGGGCTGGTGACTCTCAGAGAGACAGTCGGGAGCAGAACTCGCTCGGAGTGCCTGCTGGTGGCCACGAGTATTGCTGGGAACAGGAGGGTCCACACTGCTACACGTGGCAACATGCGAGTGGTCACAGTCATAGCCAGCAGACCTTCCCTGGCCGCGGCGGTCAGGCATGGCCAGGGGTGATGATAGCATGTACCTCAAGGCTTCTGCCAAGTTGTTCTCTCCAGTGTCTGCTTCCTTATCGGTTAAGTGCTCTTCAAGGAATTCCGTTTGTTTAAAACGCTTCAAGGCCTTTGTTAGCTTGGTTTTCACTGTCATTTTCTCAAGGACATAGGTGCTGACCCTCTTCTGGCTCTGCACCCACTTTCTGGCGACCCTGTGCAGCTCCTCCTCCAAGCACCGGCAGTGTTTCAGCAAGCTTCTGTATGCGCTCTGGTTGCAGATGTCCTCTGTCGTGGCTCCCAGCCTGATTTGTGACATCAGTGCTGGCAAGTTGCTCTGGAGAAGGCGATCCGAAAAAATCAGATTTTCAAATAGGTGTTTATTATGCAGTTCCCATGTCACGTCGAAAAGACTCAAATGCTCGTTTTCTAGAGTGACGAGGAAGGTGCTGATGGCGCGGGCCGACTGGCAGAGGGCACCATACTCTTTGAGGAGGCAGCATATAAACTGTTGGGCCTGCAGGGGGCTCCGCAGGGGGCTCTGCCGGGGGCTCTGCGTGCAGGACTGCGCTCCCTCTGTGGGCTCAGCATACAGCGGCTGCAAAAGGCGGATTTTCATGTCCAGCACGAAATCTCGTGCTACGTGATCCAACCGCTGGTACAGCTGTGAGGGGTCTACCCTGCAGAGCCTATCCACAAGCTCTTTCAACCTCTCCATATTTGGCACCACCAGGGTCCCTGTCTGGTGATATATGAAGCGGACCATGAAGCGCACTTCTGACCAGTAGTCCTGTAGCCGCTGTGACTCCAGATCCGTCTCTGCCAAGACGTTCATGGGCTCAAAGCAAGCCTCACTGGCACTTGCCGTGTCCGAGAGCGGTGACTGGGCCCCCTCAGCCAGACTCTCGCCCCCTGCCTCTGCCAGGGACCCGCCAAGAGGACCATAGGCGAGTAAGTCTTCGCCCTCTGCTGGCTGGTCAAGGCCACCATAAGTCTTAGAGTCCCCCAAGGTCCACCGGCAGGTCAAGCACACCCACTGTGTTTGGTACGACATACTGTTGCCCTCGGGAGCCAATTTGCTTGCATCCTTAACCCCACTCTTTCCCATTGTACCGTCTTTCCGCTCGGTTTTGCACAGAGCACAGAAAACGCCAGTGGGGTAAGGCGGAGCTCCTTGAGTCTCGCTCAAGTTCAAGGGAGACTCCCAGTAGTCTCTGGGGGCCTCGCCGCCCCCACACACCCCCTCAACAAAGGGCCTGTTTGCGGCCGCAACGGCGCCCGGGGTCATAATGGCGGTCTCCTGGGAGCTGCACGGCTCCTCCTTCGGGCAGACCCTGCCGCTGCTCTCCTGGTTGCGGTCCCCGCCTCCGCCGCCACCGCCCCGCTTGTTCTTACGGCGCTTGGCCCCTCCCTTAGCATTGGCCCGGCTCATGGCTGGAGGAAGACTGGCCGCGGCACTTGGCGGGACAGTGAGCACTCCGGGCACAACTGGCGGCCGAGGGTGAAAGGGCAGGAAGATTAAGGTGGCTGACCTGACCGAGGGTTGCGCGGAGTCACCTCCAAATAGGTGAGGAGAACAGGGTTGGCAGGAGTAGCTGGGCGGCCACTGGGCTGGAGAAACGGCAATGTAAGTCCACCGGCCGGTGCTGCTGAGGAGCGTTAGAGTCCAATATGGCGGACACAAGGGGAAAATGATCCCAGTTTACAGCGCGGGATGGGGAAGGAGCTGCCCTGTGGGGGAAGGAGCAGCCTGGAGGGGGAAGGAGCCGCTGTGAGGGGAAAGGAACAGCCGGGGGCGGGGGGTGTAATGCATTTTTCAATTATAATTTAGTTCAGTATTTTGTATCAGTTTCAGACATACGGCAAAGCGGTTACAAATCATGCACTTTACAGAGTGGTTCCCCGTAATGCTTTAAGTACCCACCTGGCCCCATACATAGTTGTCATGATATTATTTATTATTTCCTTATGCTGTAACCTATAACTCTGACTCCTCTATGACTACCAGAAGGTTTCCCTAGAAACCTTTCCCTAGAAATATACCCCAGCAGCTTGAGACAATGAAGTGTTTGTGCTTCTACATCATTACTTTTGTGGGATACACATCGGTACTGCAGGGGAGCTGCCTGATGATTTGTAAGAGTTGTAAATTTGTTGGTTGAAGCTCTCTGGTAAACATTCATGTTTAATAACTGGTTTTTTTGCCCTGGCTGGTGTGGCTCAGTTGGTTGGAGCATGTCCCATAAACCAAAGGTCGTGCATTCACTTTCCAGTTGGTGCACATACCTGGGCTGTGCGTTCTGTCGTGGGGCATGCAGGAGAGGCGGCTGATGTTTCCATCTCACATCAGTGTTTCTCTCTCTCTGTCTCCCCTTCCTTCCCCTCTCTCTAAGGATCGATGAGGGTACTCTCAGTCAGGATAAAAAAGAATAAAACAAAACCAAAAACAACTGAGTCATTCTTTTGACCACGACTGGATATTTAGCAACTGCTGTTTTTCCCTTGTTTTGATGTCCTGATAAGCCTGCATTTTGCTTGCATCCTTTAAGAAAGCTCTGTTAGAAGACATTATCACAAAAAAGTGGACCAGGGAGATAGATGACAGTGACACCAGCTTCCACATAAGCCACAATGAACAGGTAATGACATGCAGAACTCATGTGTGTCACAGATATTCTAGGACAGAGACACATATTTTTCCTGGGAAAACATTTTAAGTAATGATACACTGCAGTGCCGATCTGCTCCACACCGGATGTCTCGTCTCATTTGTCTGGGTGACTTGATGACTTAACAAGCTGACCTCATGCTGTAGAACATAAATGCCAGCACCACATGGAAACCAAACACCCCTAGCCAGGTCACTTCCACTAGTAGATGAGGAAGAACATTCCACGGAAGCATTGGCCACAGGCAGTTGTTTTAAACTCCCTATGCACTTTTTTCACTGCCCTTGTGATCAAAAGCTTTCTGCCAATGTAATGATCCCGCACGAGAAGGAAAAAAAAAAAGACAATTCCATAAATGACATGCTGCATCAGTTGCACTACCTCGCACAGCAAGGCATGGTCACTGGTATTGATGGAGAAAGTTTGCTCAAGGTGAAAGCTTTTTTAATAGAATCAGAAACAAGACAAGGATGTCCACTTTCACTGCTTTTATTAAACATACTATTGGAAGTCCTAGCCACAGCATTCAGACAAGAAAAAGAAATAAAAGGCATCCAAATTGGAATGAGGTAAAAGTCTCATTATTTGCAGATGAAATAATAGTATATATAGACATTCCTAAAGAATCCACCAAAAAACAATTAGACTAATAAATAAATTCAGTAAAGTAGCAAGGTACAAAATAAATTCAGAAATCCCTTGTACTCCGACTGGTGTGGCTCAGTTGATTGAGTGTCTTCCTGCAAAGTGAAAGGTCTCCAGTTTGTTTCCCGGTCAGGGCACATTCATTTCAGGTTTTAGTCTCTAATCGGGGAGTGTATGAGAGGCAACAGATAGATGTTTGTCTTCCTCTCTTTCTCCCTGCCCTTTCCCCTCTCTTAAAAAAAGCTTTAAAAAATTAGACATCAGTTGCACTTTAATATACCAATAACAAACTATCAGAGAAATTAAGAAAACAATCCTATGTTAAATTGCATCGAAAAGAATAAAATATCCAGGAATAAATTATCCAAGAAGGGAAAAGCCCTTTACTCAGAAAACTATAAAAGACACTGAAGAAAGAAATTGAAGATACAAATAAATTGAAGGCATACTGTGCTCGTGGATAGGAAGAATAAACATTGTTAAAATGTCCACACTGCCCAAAGCAATCTCCAGATTGAGTGAAATCCCTATGAAAATACCAATGGCCCTTTTTTTTGACATAATAATGTTTCGCAGAAAACATTTTAAAAATTATATGGAACCACAAAATACTCCAAACAGCCAAAGCAATCTTAAGTTTTTATAAAAATTTTTAAAAAGATTTTGCTTATTTTTAGAGAGAGGGGAAGGGAAGAAGAGAGGGAGAGAAGCTTCAATGTGCTGGAGATATAATAATTGGTTGCCCTTCGCATGCCCCCCTACTGGGGGCCTGGCTGGCAACCCAGGCACTTGCCATGACTGGGAATCAAACCGGTGACCATTTGGTTTGCAGTTGGACTCCCAACCCACTGAACCACAGCAGTCAGGGCTAACAAAGCAATCTTGAGAAAAAAAGAACAGTTGGAGTTACCACACTAGCTGATACAATCATACTAGAAAGGCTATGGTAATCAAAACAGTGTAATGGCACAAAACCAGGAACACACATCAATGGAACAGAATAGAGAATCCAGAAATAAATCCATGTCTGCATGGCTAATCTGACAAAGGAGGCAAAAATATGCAATGTGTTAATTAAATAAATGGTGTTGGGAAAACTGGACAGACATGCAAAAAAATGAACTGGATCGCTTTTACTCTATGTACAAGAATAAACTCAAAATATATTAAACACTTAAATGTAAAGCTTGAAACCTAAAACTAGAAGAAAATAGTAAAATTTTTGACATCATTCTTATATTTTTATATTTTTTTTTGGATCTGTCTCCTTGGGCAAAGGAAACAAAAGAAAAACAGTGGGACTACATCAAACTAATCAGTTTTTGCCCAGAAAAAAAAAAAAAATCAACAAACCCTAGCCAGATAGCTCAGTTGGTTAGGGTGCCATTCCGATACACCAAAGTTGCTGGTTAGATCCCTGGTGAGGGCACATACAATGATTAAGCAATGAATGCTTAAGTAAGTGGAACAAAAGATTGATCTCGCTATCTCTTTTTTCCCCTCCCTTCTCTCTAAGATAAATATATTAATTAAAAAAATAAAAGAATCCATCAACAAAACTAAAAGACGAGTAAGAAAAGAAAAAAATAAACAGGACTACATCAAACTAAAGTTTTTACACAGTAAAGTTAACCTGCAACAAAATGAAAAGACAACCCACGAAATGGGAAAACATTTGCCAATGATACACCTGATAAAGGGTTAATATCCATAATTTATAAAGAACCTATAAAACTCAACAGAAAAAACCCAAACAATCCTATTTAAAAATGGGCAAAGGACCTGAATAGAAACCTATCCAAAGTGGACAATACAGATGGCTAGCTAATAGACAAGGAAAGACATTTAGTTACTAATCATCAGAGAAATGCAAGTTGAAAGCACAATGAATTATCTATCACCTCACACCTGTCAGAATGGCTATCTTCAATAAATCAACAAACAAGTGCTGACAAGGATGTGGAGAAAAAGGAACCCTTATGCTCTGTTGTTGGTAATAGCCGATTGGTGTAGCCACTGTGGATAGCTGTATGGAGTTTCCTAAATTAAAAATGGCACTGCCTTATGACCCAGTGGTTCCCCTTCTGGGAATATATACAAAGAAACCTGAAACAGTAATTCCAAAGAATATATGCACCTCTATGTTCATTACAGTGTTATTTATGGTAACCAAGATTTGGAAGTAGCCCAAGTGTCCATCAATAGATGAGTGGATAAAAAAGTAGTATATTTACAGAATGGAATACTACTCAGCCATAAAAAAGAAAGGAAATCTTACCTTTTGTGACAGCATGGATGAATCTGGGCAGCATTATGCTAAATAAGCCAGTCAGACAAGTAACATGATTTCTCTCATGTAGAATCAAATGAACAAAATAACAAACAAAATATTAATGGACTCATAGAGAACAGACTGACAATTGTCAGGGGGAGAGGGGTTTCCGGGGCTGGGTAGAAAATATAAATAAATTAAGCAAAAACAAACTCATAGATACAGACAACAGCATGGTGATTACCAGAGGGCAATGGGGTTGGAGTGAGGCAGAAGAGGGTATAGGAGGGATAAATGGTGACAAAAGGAGAGTTGACTTGGTGTGGTGATCATAAAATATAGCAGAAGATGTATTATAAAATTGTACACCTGACCTGGCTGGTGTAGCTCAGTGGATTGAGCACTGGCCTGCAAACTGAAAGGTTGCTGGTTCGATTCCCAGTCAGGGCACATGCTTGGGCTGTGGGTCAAGTCCCTAGCTGTGGCTGTGAGAGGCAACCGATTGATGTTTCTCTCGCACATGGATGTTTCTCTCCCTCTCTCTCTCCCTTCCTCCCCTCTCTCTAAAAATAAATAAAATCTTGAAAAAAATAAATGAAGTTGTACATCTGCATCCTATATAATTTTATTAACCATTGTCACCCCAATAAATTCAATTAAAAAAACTAAAAGACAACTTACTGAATGGAAGAAGAAATTTGCCAATGATATACCTAATAAGGGGTTAATATCCAAAATACATAAAAAGCTCATACAGCTTAACACACATAAAAAAAAATCTGATTTAAAAATGGGCATAGTACCTGAATAGACATTTCTTTAAAGAGGATATACAAATGGCCAATA